TGTCTTCCAGAGACCGATCTCCCTCCTCGATAAAGGCTGGTAAATTTAAATTAAACATACACAATAATTAATCCCTTGAAATAAACTTTCTAAACCAAGAGGTAACCTTATAAACTTTATGGGCAACTCTAAGGATGTATTTTCTTTTCTGAACTCAAAAAGTTTTATTATTGGTCGAAGACTGATTTAAATGATCTAGCAGTTATTCACAATTAAAACTCCAAGACTAAATGGTTACTCTTACGATCTTCAAGAATACACAAAATGGAGTTTAAAGCAGTTAGTTCCCTTTATGAGTTTCGATGACACTGTGAGGAATTACAGGATGGCATAGTTCTCGTCCTCTCTTTGATGATAAGTTTAGCTGCATAGTAAGTTCTACTAGTGGCCGTCCTGTGTCTTTGTTTAGTGACAATAGTTTATTAATCACGTGTGAACGGCAAGGATATATAGACATCCTTTTTGGAAATGATTGGATCGGTATAGCTCTCTAGTTGACACTCCTGTAAGCCTGATGAATCTCAGCAGGTAATCGTTATCTAACATTATTTCAATGAGGTGCTGTCTTTCTGTCGTCTGTACATATATGGTGAATGAGCTTGAACAAACACTTCTTAACCAACGCCTTTTTATACTGTAGTGGACAGAAACTATGATAATTTAGTCACTGTCCCGTCCACGTGGACTTTCTGTCGATAGATCGTTTTACTGACCCATATTCTCGGCTGATTATGTGTACATCTAAAAATTGTAAGCAATCATTATTCACTTTAAAGTAGGTTAGCAATTTGTTGTTTTGTTTTGATCCGGTTTAGGATTTCTATGGCGTCTATCGGTTTATCACAAATAAATATTAAGCTATCCACATATCTCTTATAAAAATAAACTTTTCCAATTACGTCCTCCACTAGGTTCTCAATATACGATATGTATATATCAACTAACAATGAACCTAGGAGGCTTCCCAAAGTAACACCATCGACCTGGGGAAAGTGCTTCCTCTCAAATTTAAATTTGATATAAGACAGGATTACCCCTCCGTCCAATCCTCAATATGGTGGGTTCTCCTTATCACTGAATCGCTCAATGGCTAGCTGAAATACTGGAACCAGTCAGAAGATAAGTATCTAATTTTCCCATTGATGATACGTTTAAATTTCTCGATAGCATTAAAGATTTTAATGTCTCAGATAAAGTCTTGTTCTCATTAGATATGACGTCGCTATTTACCAATGTTCCTCTCATGGAAACTGTTTGCTATTTATGTGATTATATGGATACGCATAGTTTAGAAATAGAGTTGCCGACAATCCACCTCAAAGAGCTTTTATTGAGATGCACGTTGAATGTTTAATTCACTTTCAATAATGAGATTTTTCGACACCACTGGGTCCCTTGTTGACTGATTATTTTATGGCAAGGCTTGAAAATTCTCAACTTAGTCAAACCATCAGTCATTTTGACATTTATAAAAGATACGTAGATGATACTTTCGCTATCTGTGATAATAACGTAATTTTGTTTTCGACGAAGTCATCATCTAGGCTGTACATTCGGGTATTCATAGCAAATGGATGGGAAAGTTCCAGAATAATTTCCGGTTAAGGGTCAAATTAATAAAAATTACAATTAGGAATTAGAATGCCATAATAAACAGGAAAACGGATAAAACAAACAAAGTAACATCACAATTAGTAAGAAGATTGACATTGTGCAATTAGGGGTTAGAAATGTAGAAATAACAAAATAGACAGGATGTTTGGATAAAAACTAATGTGATGAAGAATTATTTATGCAATCAGGGATTAAATACGTAGAAATAGTAAAATGACAAAATAAACACGAAGTTCGGGTATGAAAATATGGTAGTGTAAACAGGGATTAAGAAAAACTTAAAATAACATGAATAAACAGGAAGTTTAGATAAGAAAGGCGATGGGATGGTCATTACTAAAAAATTACCTGTTTATGATGGCCATGGCAGGGACAGGGGTTGGACGTATTTCTTCTGGATACAAGGCGTGGGTTTGAGCTTTTGGATAGCTAGCGCCTCGGCTATGCCCATATGTCTTGATTTCACTCCCTTTGATAGGTTTGATTGAATCTTGTATATTACTTTGAAGGTTTTTTCGAAAGGCGCTGAATGTCCTGAATTGACCAGATGTTCTTCCACTGAACTGTATACACGCTTTTGGTCTCCTTTTACTAACCAGGCTGGGTAGTGTTCACGAGCGCGTTTTTCAAGTCGGTGTATGGTACGGCCAATGTACTCAGCTCCACAAGAGCAAGTAAACTAGTATATGCACGCTGAGATGGCCCAATGCGACAGCTTGTCTTTCGCATCCCTGATTGCATAAATAATTCTTCATCACATTAGTTTTTATCCAAACATCCTGTCTATTTTGTTATTTCTACATTTCTAACCCCTAATTGCACAATGTCAATCTTCTTACTAATTGTGATGTTACTTTGTTTGTTTTATCCGTTTTCCTGTTTATTATGGCATTCTAATTCCTAATTGTAATTTTTATTAATTTGACCCTTAACCGGAAATTATTCTGGAACTTTCCCATCCATTTGCTATGAATACCCGAATGTACAGCCTAGATGATGACTTCGTCGAAAACAAGATTTTCCTCGCTGCAATTGTCTTCTTAATAACGTAATTCTTGATGATGTCTCGTTTGCTTCCAACAACTGCCATTCTTCTTTACAATTCACCGCAGAAAAGGAATTTGAACTAAGTATTCCGTTTCTGGGTGTGTGCCTTAGCAGACGTATCTCTCAAATCTATCTATCCACTGGAAACGTACATGGAACGGACAGCTAACTAATTTTTACAGTTGGGTGCCTATTTCCAGGAAAAGGAACCTAATTCATTCGCTCTGCTTTAGGATAAGGAAAATTTGTAGTTCTGATTGCGTTGACTCAGAGCTTGACACCTTAAAAGCCACGCTCGCAGAAAACGGTTAGCCAAATCGATTTATTGACAGCAACATGAAAGATAAGCAGTCTAAATTGGTCACCGACTCGGTTCCAAAGAAAGCCTTATTCATGAAACTGGAATTCAAAGGCGATCAAGCTTCAGATATGCTCAAAAATTGTCTCTCTAAATCAGTCAGTAAGACGTTCTTTGCAGCTAGATTACATATGACGTTCACGAGGTGTAAATTGTTCTCCATCTCTGCAAAGGATAAGAATTCCCGTCTGGCCGCCTCCATGTGCATCCATCAGCTCACCTGCTCTTGTGGAGCAAGGTACACTGGCCGTAGTCAGAAGACGCTTTCCACACGGATACGAGAACATTTCCAACTTGGTTTTACAAGGGAAAGGAAATGTGTGAGAAGCTCTATTCTGGAACACCTGATCGACTTCTCTTACTCCATACCAACCCTGACCATGATTTCAAGATCATATATAGAATCCATGCTAACTTCCCGCGTTTTCTTCGTTACAGACTTCTAAAGATAACCGAGGCCTTGGCAATTCATGACTTTAAGCCAAAGCTTTGTGTGCAAAAGAAGTATGTACAATCCCTACCTTTGCCTTGACCGTAGAGGGATAGACATTCATTTATTTTGTTTATTTAGTCATTCTGTGTACTTTTAGCTTATTACTTCGATTATTATTATTATTACTATTCTCACTGTGAATCTTTTCCACTTGACCCACTTGTCATTTTAAACCCAAAATTATTAATTTTTATATTTTTTTAATTTTACAATATTCAATTCTATCTTATCAAATTTCACACCACGTTATGTAACATTTTATATTCGTCTATTAATCTTATAATTATGTACTTCTTTCCGAAAATCTACACACCCTATGTATTATTCTATATATGGCATTAATTATTTTGCCACTTGACATTAAACTATGATTATAATCACAAATATTTTAATTGCATTCCATACTATCATTATTTCATGTATTCACACCTTTGACCTAATTCCCTAACAGGATATAATTTTTAAAATAAAACCATATATATATATACGATTGTACAGCTTGATAATAAATTCGTTGAAAAGAGTCTCTTTGCTGAATATTGTGTTCTTGATTGCATTCATGTTTATGATTGTTACTGGATTATTTGTCAACATATTCTGTACATTTTCCTTTCTTACCCACAGCTTTGCGTCATCTCCCTACCCATTATTTCTGACCTTGACCTGTGCACAGTCTGACCCGTACTGTTTTAAATCATACTTTCTTGACTTCTTTATAACTGTGTATGACAAGTACATTTGTGATCAGAATGTTCGTAATGTGTTGCCAAAAAAATACAATACACGTTTCAGATAAACTACGTCTTCTTACTGTGCAGTCGAAAATGGAGTTACCTCACTGGGAGACAAAGAGAAGGCTTATCGTGTGGATATGTGCATGACACCAGTTTAAACAGATAGTTACACTTTAATAAAAGACAACATAATCTGGCGGCAAAGAATATTGAAAAAAGTTTACCATCTCGCTTTTGTGCGCGTTGTTTAGATTACTGTTAGGAACCCCGTAGTTTATGCCTATCTTATCGAGTTTTGTATAATAAAATAGGCCTACAATGATTAGATGGAAGTGAAGTGCATATCCATGATATGGTCGACTGAATGCAGAATAGTGACTAAGCGTAGGACTTCCCGTTAGTGTGCCAAACATTTCAAGAAGCAACGATCAGGTGTAACGCGAAATTCAAATCAAAAGTTGAGCTTCCCTCACGTTTTGACTGATGACTGCAAGTGTTCTACATACAGTTCATTGTGAAAAACACATATAAATTCCACCTTTTCAAATTTATTGATAAAAGAGGACCAGACCCATGAAGGCTAAAACAAGGTGGTATACAACTTTTATACCAAACACGGTAATCGAAGTGTCCTAATGATTTCACGCTGCATTAATTTTCAGTTAAAAAGAAGAGAAACTAAAAAGCAAAATGGATCACTAGCAAATTCAACAAATAAGTCAATTTCCAAATTAATAAAAAATTTTAAACCTACTCGTTTGACTAAAATAGTAATTCCTAAATATTTAAATGGTTTTGTGAATTCCACTCGTGCAGCTCTTTCAGGTGTAATTGAGACAGGAGCAACAGCTAGATCAGCCTTGCCCGACAGAATCTCACCTATAATACCTGTCCATTTGTGTGTTTCATTCTCCCCGGCATCACCGATTTGACCATCACCGACTAAATGCAAATCATAAGTGAATGGAGTAGGCGTTAACTCTAATCCTGTCCTGTTAGCCAATAGTCGGAGAAGATCAATACAATAGCCGTAGCAACAATAAGACTTTTTCACACCTTGAATGCAAACAAAAAAAGGAATAAATAGAAAGAAATTTGGTTGCTACAAGGTGATAAACCAGAAATGATATCATAACTAAGTCTTTAGAATAAAAAAAACTTCATGAATGAGTAACAAAGTTGATTATTACCTACCAATTTTCTTCGGGAGTTTCAGTGTTCTTTAAGCATATACTGAAATCTTAAGCAACAGAAAAGTACTTTTCAACTAATCATCTTCCATGAGATCTTAATTACAGGGATTAGTCCTATAGGCTATATTCCATTGGTTCGGAAATGAATCTGATTGTATATTGTTAAGCGAACTGAGAAATAATCTTGCAAGTCAAAATATTCATCTTTTCGCCAGAAATACTTTATTCAAGCATTGGTTTCTAGGGATTTGGTTGATTGGTTACAGGATTTAATCATGAGTTGGCATTGGTCAGAAAACCATTGGAAACCTGGGAGTACTGTACAGCTGTTTCGTCCCAGTTTGGAACTCTTCATCAGTACACACTCACCGGGGCTCGAACCCAGGACCTTCTGGTTACAGGACTAGCGAGCTCGTAGACCATTAAGCCACTGGGACTTAAACTAATACCCCGTGAATTCCAACTTCTGTCAATTCACGATATAGATCAACCGCTAGCCAATGTCTTCGGCGAGTATTTAGGAAGTCGTGACTAGTAGGGTGCAGCCGGTCGAGTGTGAGGAAAATGATACGTGATTCTGTAAAATCATGATCGCATTGTGTTAGAAACATGATACCGAGTACATTGATCAATTAGTATCCAACTATTGATCCTCAGGGATTTCACTGATTTCAAGTTATATCATGAACCATTGAAATTCAGGGAGTGCATGACACATTGTAAGCGACTGACAACCGGATGAAGTTCCTGTGGTTGTAATGACAAGTCGTTACCTCTGTGATTTACAAAGCTGCATAGAAGGACAGATACTCTCAGATGATAATCTTTTAGCAGTTGCACTATATTTCACTAACTGATAAATCTTAGAATTCATAAACCTAACGTAAAGATCCTGAGTCCGATCCGAGGTAGGGTCATGAGTGCGTACTGATGAGGAGTCTCGAGCAAATGCAAAACATATATTCAGTTCTTCCTAGTCTTCATTAGTTCACTAACTGATCTAATTTAAAACCAGTCAACTTTTTCTGAAACATTGCACTAGGAAAACTACATCAGGAATGCATGAATATACTCGAAAGACATAAATAATGCAAACATGCGTTAACTCGACAATCTAACGTAACATAAAAACACTCTTTTTCAGGAGATCAGTAATTGTTTAATTGTGAAACTTTCCCCTTCACATTTTAGACGAAGTCATCGATATTAGACTAACATTGATTATGAAGTCAAGGGATGATTGTTTGTATATCTTTGACAGTGGACAGTTTTTGTAGAATTCGAAAATGTTTTACCACTGGAGGGTGTTCTAAACCTGAAAATCTGCATTTTCACCATAATAATTACATTTCTACCATCAGCGATTTCATTTCATATCAATTAAAGTACTACGGACATCGGTTAGCTGAGAGTTTTCAATCAAACTGAAGAAGTGCGTCGGTGCCACAGCGGTTAGGACTCTCACCGACCATGAAAATTGTCCGGGGTTCGATCCCCTGCCAATGCACACCTGATATCTATGGTCAGCCTACAAAATTTGGGATACCGATATCACATGCTGAAAATTCCATACCTGTACCACAAAATAAGGTGTGCAATCAAGCTGTAATCAAAAATAAAATAAATAAGTGATTACACCTTGTAGGTCTCATGAACGTGCAGGTATTTTAGGTTAACATTTGCCAACAGAAGGCGATGGGTTGATATACATCTACTATACAATTTCCGTAAGCCAATAAGATTTTTTATTTACTTTTATTTTTCAGTGAGTAACTTGAAATGTATTCATCACACATCTTTATATTATCTTTATTATTATCTACCAAACATTAAATTTATCTTCTATACACTAGTAGTTACAGAATTCTAGATAAAATTTATTTTTATTTTCATAATAACCAATAAGAATTTCGCCATCCACATGGTAGTAGAAAGCATTGTTTAACTGTTATTTCACCCACTTAAAATTCACGCTGAATTTGGACTAATGGAAAAGCCTATGATAAGGCAAAAAATAAATATGGCGTATATAAAACTCTCAGTCAAAAACTTTATTCAGAATAATCAAATTGTATTTTGTCAAACAGCCGGAAAATCTTTTCTTGCCAAAAATAAACACAATGAGCTAACGTGAATATTACTAATGGATACTTATTTCTTACAAATTTTAAAGGTGTACAAGGTGCAGTAACAAAAATGTATTGACCAACTATCTAAATGCATGTAATAACTAGCTACTATTCACTATACAGAGTTGTGCATTTATTCTGTTTTATACACTCTATTGTATCAATACATTTGAATACACTCCCCTCAAGAGTAGATCTCATTGAAACTGTGAAGCAAAAGATCACAGTAAATCAGAGAACTCATCCTACAGTGAATAATGATGCACTTTGTTCAATAAGAAGTGATTTATGTTTTTGTAAAATGTACAGCAATGCTCAAACAAATGCTCAACACTATGCCCATCCTTATTATTATCATGAACAAAACAGGACAGATAGTGTTGACAAGCATTCCAATTATTTTTCAAATTTCTTATCTGTATGCTGTCAACCAAAAGTGACTAGATTACATTTTTATGGGTCAGGTATCAGGTATATGAAACCAGAAGTATTCACCCAATTTCCTTGTCATGAAGTTATTGAATTCACCCTGGAATCTACAATGATCAGTATCTCATCATCGTCGTCAGCACTAACACTGTCTAAACAGCACTTATCGAAAACACCTACTGATTTCAATTATTTCATCGGTTTGCCAAATCTCATTCGATTACGTCTGGTGAACAATCCACGCATAACTTGTTACACATCGGATATTTTTACTGGTGTAAATAATAACTTGGAAGAATTATATTTAACAGGTAATCCAGTGAAACAAATCAGTGTTATGGATTTTGATAAATTCACAACTCACGATAATCGTCTTGTCAGTTTAGATTTAAGTTATAATCAACTTATAACCGTAGAAGCGAACTGTTTCGTTCGGAAATCAAAAGAAGGAGGGATGTATCATTTAAGAAAGTTGAATTTAGCTTATAATCAAATTTCAGTGATACACACCGATATGTTCTCTGGTCTTCCATACTTAGAGGAATTAAATCTAGCTGGTAATCCAATCAGATATATTGAAGAAGGTAGTTTCCGAAATTTAATGAGTCTTCGTAAACTTATCATTGAAGGTACTGTGAAACTGACTAAAAATATAAACAATGACACATTTACACGCAATGTGTTCAAAGACTTGAAGGACTTACAAGATTTAACATTAGTCGGGTTACAAATGCATATGTTAAGCACAAATGTATTCAGTGATTTATATCAACTGAGAAGATTAAATTTAGCACAAAATCTATTTAACAAAGTTCCAGTTATCTTTAAACACAATTCTGTTGACGAAACAAATTCATCTCTTGATATACTGCCTACTGAATCAACATTAATGTTTCCTGTCGTAGTTAAAACTAAACTCACACATCTTAACTTGTCCCATAATCAGATAACTTGTTTAGAATCGAATGCCTTTCAGTACATATACAAGCTTAAACATTTAGTATTGAATTTTAACCGGATAACTATTATAAGAAGATATGCATTCAAAGGTTTAAATTCATTACAAATATTAGAACTTCAAGGGAATCCGTTAGCTCTAATACAACCCTATGCATTCATACCTCTTAGACTGAGTCTCGAAATATTGTTTCTCGATGACACAGTGAATGAAGCAGACATAAGTACTGTAATATATTTTAATCGAACATCTCTAGCACTTCTCCCATCAACAACACAAATATATGGCCTGAAAAAATGGAGTATTTTTAGAGGAGGTAATCGAACTATTGACAGTGTGATGAATAGTAACCAACAGTACACAAAATATATGGATCAGGACGTTGAATGTGAAGTAAGTGGCAAATTAATGCATGAAATACATCACAAGATTATCCAGCTGGAAACAGTGCCTGTAACAAGTGAAAATAAAGGCATACAGGGTAAAATGAAGAAATTATCGTATACCATGTATGGTGACTTTAATAATGATAAGATTCAAGCACATCAAAATACTGTTATCATACTATTCGGTTCTGGTATGAGCTTCGTAATCATTCTACTGATATTTATGATGCTTTACCGACTGTGCACATATCATTCAAAGCTAAAAGGCCAGAAGTATACCACAAAGCATCTAACCCTAGTTGCGAATTCTTTTCGTTGTCAGGATGGTGACAGTTCAGATACAACGGCATCTGTAAACTTAGCAAATCTACAGAATAACGAGAGTATAATTTATAATGAACCTAAAAATACCAGTATTACCAAAGGTGATAGTAAAGTTTATTACAACAAAGTGTCAGCACATCACCACAGACAGAGTCAGTTGTTTGAGCCAACAAATCATTCGTCAACGTCAGATCTGTTTACAACGGACTCAAACCAAAAGATAATTTATAATAATTATCAATTAAATTATGACAAATGTATAACGAGTTCATTTCGGATTGTTAATACTACGATGAGTGCAATGAATCAACATGAAATTCAAATCGGTTATCCCTTCCGATTGGAACAATACGATGGTATTATTATAAATTCAAATGCATCACCGCAAAGGACACTGATAAAAGATGACTCCTACAATTTGAACAGTATGCAGAATGGTTTAAAGGAAAATAAAATACTGGGCAATTCATATCGATTAGGGAGTATATGTTCTGTCAAGATTAACAGTCAGAAGACAGAAACCACCTATCCTCAAACTGCATACAATAACTCAGTGTTACACAGACTAAATCAATCGAAGAGTGAAAATCTTTATGGGAATTCTGAGGACGATGAAGGTGTCAAATCAATCATTAAAGAACTAGGAATCATATGACAAAAAAATCATTTAATATATGAGGTAGTCAAAAATAAAACTTTAGCTAAATATTTCTTAAGGTTAGTTTCTTCTCCCTATTTTTCCTTTCGATGATAAACAAAATATTAGACAAGCTGAGAAAGATGAACAGGTGCCTAGAAGGAGTGTTATCCTATATAAACTGCTATCCTCAGTCTTTCAGAACTATTAGAATATCAGTGGTGACTTCATATGAAGGCTAAGTAAAATTGTTCTGCAGTTTTGCCATGTTTGGCTGGACAATGCTTAGTACTTCGGGATTTTACCATGTTTAATTCAGTTATTTATTGTTAGTTTTCAAATAGAATTTTCATTTGAAGAGAAAAAGATTTAAGTAAAAAAAAATCCTTTATTACGACTTGATGTGTACATCTGTACAATTATTATTCTCATATAAGCTAGGACGGGTCATTTACACACTGTATGATACTCGAATATTGGCAACAGAAGAAATTATATAGCTATATGGACTGAATACATCATGAATATAGTTAATGCATAGTTCACAAAACTTTTCTTTTTCTCTAATTCAGTTTCTTCCATTTCTGTTTAAGTTGTTGTGTTACAACATTTCTATCTTAAAAGATTATGAATTGTTCATTCCTCTTGCATTTGACTCACATTTATACATTCAAACTTCTTATTTCTAAATGTTCTCAAACTATCTATCAAACAAAATCATACCCACTCATTTGTCTAGTGTAATATGCCTGACACTCAGTAGGTTTATTGATATATCTCGTTTTAACTGATATTATTTCACTTTAACATTTTCATTCAGTGTTACAACTACAAGTAAACAGTTTTGCTAATATCTAGCCTAGTCTGTGTCTATGACAACGACTGTGGAATTATGAAAATGAAATTGTAACAAAAAGAATTATCTTTGTTTCTATGTTTTGTATGTTGACTATTAATTTGATATTTTAAAAAATAAAGTAAAATAAAAGATGCATCATCTTAGAAGAAAACATTATTCACTTTACTTGATACTGGCAAACTTATGAAAAAAACAACATGTGAGCTGTCGATATAGACTGATTTGTCCAAGCCTAGGTAACTGTTTGTAACAGCCGAATATATTTCTTCCTCTATTCTAAATGTTAAAACTCTTTGTTGAAATTAGAATAGGTGTCAATCGAAGTTGAAAGACAAATAATTGTTATTCATACACCAGACGGTAATTTGACCTTTTGTACTGGAGACAAGGACAGCAAATGGACAGCTTCCAATTATAATGACAGTACGATTTAGACCACGGCAAGATTTGAAATATTAGGCTTACATTCATTTAACGGCTCAGTAAAGTTCTATAACATTTTAGAACCTAATCTCATGAGTAACAAATGTATGAGAAAAGAACTTCATTCATTAGTGAAAAGTACAAACTTACTGCCTAGACATAAGTACAAGTATAGAAACACTATCAACGTAGAATTTTTGAAATACTGCACAATTATACAAGTTCTCACAACTCAGATTAACTTGTGAAGAAAAATGTTTCACAATACAACAAATGTAAAGGTAATTTAAACTTAATACATTCTCAAGACGAAAGAAAAAGCCTTTGTCAAGCAGTTATTTATGTCTTATCACCCACCAAATCACTTAGCACTACATAATGGCGACTGAGTCTTGAGTACAACTGAGTATAACAGGGAATCAGTCATGGGCTAAGAAGTGTAATTTTAAAGTCTCCTTGAAGAGAGGTTGAAATGGAATGAAATGTGCGTCGGTGGCACAGTGGTTAGGGCTCCTGCCGACCATGCACATGGTCCAAGGTTCGATCCCCTGCCGACGCACACCTGATATCTATGGTCACCCTGCGAAATTTGGGATACCGATATCATATGCTGAAAATTCTATACTTGTACCAAAAATACAGTGTGGAATCAAGCTGTTATAAAAAAAATCAAATAAAAATGTATGCATGTGTATAATATGGACATTACATTCAAATCAAAACTTCGTTAATGTTATCGTTACTCATTAATCTAATTTCTACACAGAATCTGCAGCAGGAGGCAAAATGGTTATATGCACACTAATCGGATATGTTTATTTTATACAAAGTCCGGATTCTGTCACAACATAAATGAGAAATGTAGACTAACTCAACACTCAGTGAGGCTGTGAGACGGAGAGCATTTACAGTCCTGGATCCTGGTTTAGAAAACTTCTGAGAACAGCTTACCAACTCTAAAATGGAAGTATACAGCTCCAAAAAGGAAACGAGTTACAGAAGTTGCGTATTAAAATCTATTCAGATACAAACGATATTCTGTCCCAGAAGATAATGCATGCGCTAAAATGAAGCTTACGGAAGCTTATACATTTCAGATTTTAAATATAAATGAATAAGTAGAACTCACAGATCTAATTGTGAAATCAAATGGTACCATTAAGCATGGAAATATTTAGTGTTAAATGTGTCTCCGTTAGCTTCGTTTTTAACATTAAGGAAATGCACCAAACTTCCGATAATATAAGTAGCGAGAACTTGACAGAATCAAGATGTCAAATAGAGTGACTAACAATCTATATGACTTAGGTAGCAGTAATAATGGAAATCTCACAGTATTGTACAAGTTATTTCTAATACTTCAGTTATACTGTGTAATTATATATACTACTTTAACTGATATCATAATTTTCTAGATGACGGATCAACTTTTCTGACTGTATGACTCTGATAAATTATGGCTGATTAACGTAGTAAACCCTTCATCGCTTGTCTTTAAGGCTTCTGTGTAAAATTATACAACAATAGACGTTAACCACCTTGCAGAGTGAATATTTCTTCAGTTGATTTACTCTTTTGTCGGAAAAACTGAATAAGTAACCATTACAATACGGCTTTTCCCACCAAGTTGTAAAAGTGTAATTAAAATGAACAGAGAGCGATAAAATGATAAAAAATTACAGGTATTAGACAAATTTTGCACAGAAACACCACTTGAAAATTAATCTCTTATTTCTATCTTTTATTTTGTAGCTCTATGTTATACGCAGGCAATTATGCAGCAGTACTAATACTATTATATATGACACATTAAACTCTTTGAACATGTTTAATGATCAGTATTTTGTAAACAGTTTTGTCATAGTTACAGACACTTCATTACTGCGCGCTTGTTATCTACAGCAGGATGGATAACCAAACAACAAGAAGCTTAGCTTGATTCTGGAAATGTACCAGAATCTAAACACTAATTGCGTGCTACATGCGTTCAATGCTAGAACTTTCCGGACACTATCTAGTGGCATCACAATTTTCTCCTAGATATTCAAAAACCATGCACGATGAAATTGATGCAGTGTGCCGACAACGAGAGTTAATAGTCAATAGGCTGCTAGTTTATTTGGCAGTAGCAATAATCTCCTTAATAGGTGTTTGATCGCGATTTGACACCAGCTAGAGAACTATTGGAAAACCTGAAAGTGCTGGACAGCTGTTTCATCCTCCTTTGGTGTTCTCCGTCAGTTCGCACCCACCAGGACCTTCCGATCTTGTAGACCATAAAGCCACTGGGACTCGAACCAATGGCTCATGAATTCCGAATTTCTGCCAATCCGCGACATTTAGCGCAACTGTCTTCTAACTGGAAGATCCTGGGTTCGAATTCCGGTTGGTACATACTTCTGAAACACCAGGTAAATAGCTATTTAACAAAAATTGGTCCTCACGGTCACTCCAGCTGGACAATCTCATCTCAAAAGACACTTAATTCAGTCATATGCTATATCGTACAGACTGTCACTCATCAAAAAAAAAAACAAAGATGAAAAAAATGTTTCAAGAATACTAATTGAATCAGAAGCGTTTATTTACAGAATAACGAACAAAATACTGGAAATAAAATTTAAACTGTCTGGTGATATATATATATATTTCTCATGTATTTCGTTTCAGTCACTGTAAGAACTAATGAATCCCTGAATCACTTGATAATTAGGCCAGTCAGTCTCTAGATATCGACGCATCATAAATGTTGTGACTATAATACAATATATAATTTCGTTTACAATTTTAGTCAAAATGACCAAAATACTTAATGTGGTGCGTAAATGCACGTGAATACACTGATGTAGATGGTGTGTTCTGCTTCAACCCACTAATATGAATAGTATGAATCAGACTGTATAATATATAAAATGCTATTCGAAAAAGTAGCATTCATCAAATGAACAAATATTTGTTTACTTAAGATTTATTTAGTTGCACAGAACTCGTTAAAATAAACAAGATATCATATAATCCATTGAATAATCTTCATGACCATATACTTCAGATAGAATTAATAATTGTTGGAAAATTTTCCTTAATAGCTTGCAGGTACAGAAGTCGCTCAGTTCAATGAAGTCAGTGAATGAGAAATATGATTAGCACATGTTTTTTGAATGAATCTGAATCTCATGACATTTGCATTAGACGTAAACTTTATAATGAAAACCGAGAATTTCACGTTTACACTTCACCATTATTTTGTACACGCAATATTGCGGTTCTGAAGAATTAGGTATTATTACGTAATTGAAATTAATCAGATTGATAGGGGTTAGCGATGGTATTCAGGATTCGCGTTTCGTCTCCTATGAGACTGATCATCAGCCAGGCATACCTTCTTTCCCTTTGAGGGAATAGTATCCCGAATGAGACACTAACCCAGCATTCATCGTTTAAAATATCACAGCGTTGTCCACTAGGCCAGTGGATCATCTGAGCCGCCTGTTACTCACAGTGGGACTAAAATAATTCACATCACCATTGAAAACTATCTCCTCTCTCGGTCAACATTTTCCCAAACATTTGTATCTGATTTATAGGGGTACCCAACTGTGAAAGTTGATAAGCTGTCCGTTCCATGTTGACTTTCTGTAGATAGATCTTTTCAGTATTCCATCCTGTTCTCGTCTTGTTAGTTGGACGTCAAGGAAGGATATTTTGGCGTTGGACACTTTCTCCAGCGTGAACTGAATCGCGGGGTGGCAGTTGTTAAACGACTTCAGGATGTCGGCTAGATTTTCTTCATTGTTGACGATAATGAAATTGTCGTCGACGTATCCCTTGTAGATTTCGAAGGTATCGATCATTTTCTTCAGGCATGTGTTTTCGAGTTTTGCCATGAAGAAATCTGCAAGCGATCGGCCTAGTGGTGAGTCCAAAGCTATACCATCCTTTTGGCGATACATTTCGTTGTTGAAAGAGAATTGAACATTCAGGGTACACCTCAGCAGGAGTTCTTGAAGACGCTCGGTGGATATACCGATGTTTATTCCTTTGGAATCAATAAGTTCGCATATATAGCATATTGTTTCAGTCAGTGGAACGTTTGTGAATAGTGATGTGACATCTAATGAGATCATGGTCCTGTTGGACACGTTGATGCTTTCAATTGAGTCGATCTCATTAGATGTCACATCACTATTCACAAATGTTCCACTGACTGAAACAATATGCTATATATGCGAACTTATTGATTCCAAAGGAATAAACATCGGTATATCCACCGAGCATCTTCAAGAACTCCTGCTGAGGTGTACCCTGAATGTTCAATTCTCTTTCAACAACGAAATATATCGCCAAAAGGATGGTATAGCTTTGGACTCACCACTAGGCCGATCGCTTGCAGATTTCTTCATGGCAAAACTCGAAAACACATGCCTGAAGAAAATGATCGATACCTTCGAAATCTACAAGGGATACGTCGACGACACTTTCATTATCGTCAACAATGAAGAAAATCTAGCCGACATCCTGAAGTCGTCTAACAACTTCCACCCCGCGATTCATTTGTATCTGATTACCGATCACCTTTCCATTACTGTTCCAATATTCTTTCCTTAATGAATCAATTATCATAGTGTTTTATTATTCCTAGTGTTATCATTAAAATCTCTGATACTTACCATTCCTTTAGTTTATATTTTATCCCGTCCATTTAACTGGTCACCAAGCTTAATTTGTCACATACATATGTTGATATTTTAACAATAAGAATATTGACATAAGTTTACATTGGCATACACATGTAAACATCCTATACCAAATACGGTTCCCTATTTGCCTGTTATTCATACAACAAACTCTTTAGGCAAAAACGAATAACACTCAGTGCATTTTATTTTAAGCCACACTTACATGTTACTAACTCGCAAAAAAAACCCATACTTTGTTTATACACCATACAACACATACTACTGGTTGATGTAAGTAGTCTGAAATTAAAGCCGTCAACACTAGTGTTCAACTTGAAATTTAACTTTTGAAATATTTCTCTTTGCAGATAACTAACAGTATCATAAATCCATGGATTAAACAATATTTTTAACTAATCACTCATCAGTACGTAGTGTCAAAATAAGCGAAACTTACCAGTAACAGGATCTGTATGAGTACATTCCACTTCAGCTTTGACAACTGACGTATCATCTGATTCATTACATTTACCATTCAATTTTGGACGAGTATGCACAAAGGGAATACTTTCTATTGTAACCACCTGAATAAATTGCAAATAAACTTTAAAATTACTTTTTGCATCAAATAAATTTAATCTGTTAATTATTTATTTATTCAATAACCATTAGCTGAAGTCGAAGTATTGTGGTGGTGTGATACAGACAATGTATGCCAACGGAATATTATTCTCATATATTCCCACAGCTCAATGCGGCATTAGCAATAGAATACTATGTGTATATTTGAACATTCTATTTCATGTCGTTTAATGTAAACCAAAATGAAATGCTCAGTGATTGGTTAAGAAATATAAAACTGTATATATATAAATAGCGGCTTGATCACTTGAAAATATACCTTGGCTTCCAAGTCTTACCTTCTACTGCTACAGTATATCTTTCAAATCAGATCACTAAATGACATCAGTTAAGGAACTGTTGAAAACCAGTGAGTACTAGACAGGTGTCTTGTCCTCATATGGGACTCTTCAGCAGCACTCATCATTAACGTCACCGTGGATTGAACCGAGGGATGTCAGACTATGTGAATAGCACGTTAACTATTCAGTAGCTGGTGCGCCCCCCCCCCCGCCATAGCCCATGAATTTCAACTTCTGTTAATTCTCTAACTGCTGTAAGTTCATGTGTAAGATCTGAAACTAGAAAAACCCGTGCACATGAATAATTAAAATATATTTTTCTGTCAACTAAAGACTAAGATTTCAAACCCTCTAAGCAAGTCTAACCAAGCTGAAATGAAAAGTCAGTTTTGGCAGGATCCCAACCAGTGAACTCTTCTTTCTAATTAAATTGCCAGCCAACAAGATCACCATCAGTCTATTAAACGAAAGTTTCGCCATATTACTTATTGTCATCTGGCTAAATAAATTCATTCATACATTTAAGCTAATATAAAAATCTTTGTGACAGCCATGGCTGCTAACACCTTCTGGAAAATTTTAATCGGGTATTATTTGTTTTAGCGGAATAAAACTTAAATCTCTCTAATATGAAGAGTTTGATAAATTTCACAACGCAGCAGATGTTGGGTTTCTTGAACCATAGAATGCACTTGAAAAAAATTGAAAAATATTTATTAAATCATTAATCGTAAGGCTAGGGCATATTTTCCAGATAAATACAAAACAGTTACTTCCCTTCATAAACTTGGAAAGACACCGAGGTAACACAGCTTACCTTGAGAATGAACTAGATTGACACATATGGTTTCAAAAAACATCTGATTGTCAAAACCAAAACCACTAGATGTCAGTATGTTGGCTTACGAGTAAAGTTAGCATATAAGACATTAAAAAAACTTCAAACAAAAAGAAAACTATTGAACATTTTGCAATATAGTCATAACTCTTTCTGTGAAAAAATCCACATGGACGAAGTAGTCCTCCTTTAATTACAACAGTTTCTGTCCATTTAAGTATGAAATATTACTAGCTAGGTAATTACTTGATCGCACAGTACTACACAGACAGGAATAACAGATTTCTCTAAAGTTCATCTATTTGTTGTCAAAAATAAATCCAATCAAACTTGTTATGATCAATACTACTACCATTTTGTTGCCTATTCTCCCAGATCCTTTTGAAGTTGCAATGTACACAATGCGTCAAATCGTATACCCCTGATAGAAAAAAACAGAGCCAAACAAAACAACCTATGCAATTACTGGTCACTATAGGTGCGGAATAACCTAGACGCCATTTTATAAGAGATACTTCATCATGCGATTGCACTATCTCTCTTGTTTAACTAATGGATCAATAAATAACTCCTTGAATAAATTAATTTTGAGAACAAACCTACTTTTAGATGTGTTTTCTTTTTGAAACTTATTGGTGTAGCGTGTACAAGTCGTTTTTCTGTTTTGTGACACTGTCCATCACTATTTCTTTGAATACAAACCATTTGTCGACGTTTAACAACACTGTTGCCCGGCCATACTAATTTACTGAAATTAATTGATAATAATGAAGGGTATGGTTCATCAGAAGTCCACTCCATAGGTGTTGGCTAAGTGAGAGAATTGAGTTTTCGTTAATTTCATGATGAAGAAGTGAAAAAAAATAAGTTTGCTATATACAGTTGAATTGAATAAGGATTAATAGAAAAAAGACAAATTATTTTCCTGGTAAAAGATGAATTTGATGTTTCCTGTCAAAAGAAATAATGCACCAAGATAAATGAGGATGTAATCTGGGTGGTACCAATTTCACATATCAACCACTACATCAGTGTGTCTGACAAACTTAAATTAGCTTGAGTAGTCTTACCAATGAAGTGATATTCATTGAGTTGTAAAACAGAATGGGATCTACACCTGTGTGCCACTTTCTAGGATCATAGCAGTCTGATAAGTCCTGTCGATGAGATTAGATCACTGCGCGCGTCGGTGGCACAGTGGTTAGGACTCCTGCCGACCATGCACATGGTCCGGGGTTCGAGCCCGCGCCGACACACACCTGATATCTATGGTCGGCTTGCGAATTTCGGGCTACCGATATCCACGCTGAAAATTCCACACTTGTACCAAAATACAGTGCGGAATCAAGCTGTAATCAAAAAAAAGAAAAAAAATATATAACACCGATATACACTGCATTACTAAATTTCAAAGCGTCTGTTGTTCGTAATATTACCTACTCATGTCCTTCGAAAAGATGAAAGCTTTTGAAACCTTTCGAAAAAGTCAACTATATTGGACGGTCTGGAAAGAGTCTGATAATCTGATGCGTAAACAGAATCCCAACTAGTACAAAGAAATCAAAAAGACATTTGTAAACTGAAACCTCAGAAAAAAAGTCGAAGTTAGAGCAAATATACGTGATTTACACCAAACAGATAACTGGCTTTAATGCTTTGACTGTGTTTTGGTGGTACAAAAGCCATTTGAAATGGAGTCGGAGGATTATTTTTCGTGCTATTCGCAAGCATATGAGCATTATAACTGTATTCTAATAGTAATCAATTTATTCAGCCATTATTATTCTAGTCATAACTGTTAGCAGTCTGAAGAATCTAGCCAATCGCTAAACCGACATTTTTACACTCATCACACCTAAGATAGGAGATTTATGGACCGACGCTGAGCCTTGAACATGGCTAGTTCAACAATATCGGAATATACGGAGTACAGATAAGAAAATGATAAATATTCATTGGAAATACAAGTTATTCCATTACGTCAAGAAATAAAGAATTAAAAGTATAGCTCAAAGAATTCATGCATTTGCTCGAAAGGCATATCAATAAAAGAAACTCTGCAACGACAAAAAAAATGAATAAGATGGATTTGTTTCTCAACAAATGCGGAATATTTAGATACACTCATTCATCCTTCACCACTTTTCACGTGTTTCTTTTTATACTACTTAGTACTAGTAAGTAGTATGAAGCTTTCTATTGTTTCGCGTAGTTATCGAATTCAATTTTGACTTTGCATTCATTCATTCTGTTTGGTCAGTAGTGACGATCTTCCTATGGTCAGACGGTGTTTGTCGTACGTCTTTTCTTTTGTTTCCATTCTTTGTTAGACATTACTAGTTCAAACCTCTTTATCTCTGATATGTACGTTCGCTCATATTGAGTATTGCTTTTGACACATTGCCGGTGTTTTTAGTATTAATCCACAATGGCAGTATTTTTGATTACATCCAACCTAAGTACCTCACAATTTGAAGCTTGTATATCCTAAGAGATGGAACAAAGAAAACACTGGGCTGAACACTTCAAAAGACTTCTAAATCGTCCCCCACCTACAACACGCCCAACAATACCAACAACGGGAGCAGAACTACCAGTAAACATTGACCCCCCGATGAAATCAGAAGTCCTGAATGTAATCAAAATGCTAAAAGCTGGGAAAGCACCAGGATCATAGGGAATCCCAGCAGAAGCTTTGAAAACAGACCCAGAGACAACAGCGGAGTTGATGACGCCAATGCTGGAGAAGGTGTGGAAAGAGGGCAAAGTACCCGAGGATTGGAAGAACGGATACTTATTCAAACTACCAAAGAAAGGAGACTTAAGTCAATGTAAAAACTGGCGTGGAATTATGCTTCTGTCCATTCCAAGCAAAATACTACGCGGCATCATCCTGGAGAGAATCAAACACGCCAACCTGGATGGAAAACTTCGACAGGAACAAGCTGGATTCAGGAGAAACAAGTCATGTATTGATCAAATCACCACACTACGGATTATTATCATTGAACAAAGCTTGCAATGAAAGTCACCTCTCTATCTCAACTTCATCGACTTTGAAAAGGCACTCGACAGCGTCGATCGAGAGGTCATTTGGAAACTACTTGGCTGCTACGGGGTCCCATCGACAATTATACATCTCATCCAACAGTTCGTACGACAATGCTGCATGCCAAGTAATCCACAACGGGAAACTTACGGAGGCCTTCGAAGTGAAGACGGGAGTGAGGCAAGGCTGTCTACTATCGCCAATGATTTTCCTGATTGCAGTAGATTGGATAATGAGACAGACAACGGGCAATGAGGAAACAGGCATAAAATGGACTCACACAAAAAGAGACTTGGAGGATCTGGACTTCCCCGATGATATATGTCTGATTTCCCACAAACTGGAAGATATGCAAGTGATGAAAAGCAACAAGCTGGCAGAAGAAGCATCAAAGATAGGACTTCATGCAAACACAGATAAAACAGAGGTGATGAAGATTCCTGGCCAAGAGCAACAACAACAACCAGCATAAATGGGATAAATCCGCAAGAAGTAACCTACTTTAGTTACTGACCGACCCGGTAAGCATCGTTTCAACGACAGGCGGAACTGACGAGAATATCAAAGCTAGAATCGGAAAAAACAAGACAAGCTTTTATTACTCTTAAGTATGTGTGGAGGTCAACAGCACTCAGCATCAAAAATAAGATCCGGATTTTCAACTCCAAAGTAAAGTCAGTGCCACTTACTATACGGATCAGAGAATTGGCCAGCGCGTCATAAAGAGCATCTTAAACAAACTTCATACCTTCAGTAACAGTTGTCTTCGCTCAGTACTCAAGATAAAATGGGCGGCCAAAAAAGATCAGCAACAGGGAGGAATCTCTGGCAACGAGCGAACCAACCAGGAACCGATTGTGCAACACATAGGCAGGAAGAAATGGAGATGGATTGGCCATACTCTGAGGAAACCATCAAGTGACATCACTAGACAAGCCATCGCTCGAGTGGAACCCGAAAGGGAAGCGGCGAGTTGGTCGTCAGTACGAGGGTGACTGGGAGGAGGTCATGTGAAGAGGAGATGAAAGCATGTGGACAGACCTGGAGCGGGGTGAAAAAGTTAGCAAAAAAAGACAATGGAGGTGCACAGCTGAAGCCCTATGTTCCTCTAGGAACTAAAGGATATAACAATAATAATATCCTATTTATTTATTTTCATATGTAATACACTAAAGTATTCTAGACAAATCCTGTGTTTTAACTTTTATACCTAACTCAAACTTTTGGAATAATAAGTAGATTGTAAATTATTGCTATGCGTCGGTGGCATAGCGGTTGGAACGCTCGCCGACCATGCACATGGTCCGGGGTTCGATCCCCGACCAACTCACTCCTGTACCTCGATAAACCAGCAATAAAACTGATAAAGAGGGAAGGTTGGGAGTGAGGCTAGCAATCCCATCCTGTAAAATAAACACTGCTACAGAAACTCCGAGCCACTAGCTTGGATCTCTATGTTCCACTGGGGAACGTGAAGGAAAAAAAAATTATTGCTGCAGATTTTTTGAAATAAATCTACGCTCATCTCGTTGTCTAAACTAATCGAGAAGTTTATTTTTCTACAGAAACTTCTCACTTTAGACAACAACAACGATTCAGTACCTTCCACGCAAATATATACGAATTACCTGAGGTAAACCGTAACTACCGACGGACACTAGCGTGGGTCTTTCAAATTCAAAAGATTTCTGCGAAGATGAATCACTGATTTCGTGGTTGGTCAGTTGAGCATTCACTACATCATAAATTGGATTAATTCGGTCACCATACTCGTCGAATTCCAAGCGCCCAGTTCTACCATCAGTCAGATTCATTGATATCATTTCTCTTAATTTGGAAATTTGGGAAAAATACCAATTGTTTAATATAAGTATTTGTGCATACAGAACAATAAAACTAAAGATATATCAAACGGTTGGGTTAGCGTGGAACTGTTCCAACGTGAAGACTTACGAAAAATGCGTTATTTCATCAGATAATGAAATATTAGTTATAGGCATTTAAATTAATGTGGTTAATAGAATATCAAGGATCAGAGTTCAGGGATGTGAATTAATGGATGACAGTTGGGTTGATCATAACAGTAATAATAATAATAACACGGATAAATTCATCCAAGTGTTTAAACAATCTAGGCAACTGTGAGTGTGTAGTTAGAATGTGCATGCTAATAGGGGTAGAGAGGAAAATAAATAGTGTTACATAGAGATTAGATAACATAATAATAATAAATTGTGAAACCTAGATTAAAATGTACAACTACAGCACTGCATGATATTGAAAATACAGTTGGCACTACAAATAAAATAGCAAATAAAATGAAACAAGATATACTAAAATAATATTTAGTTATCCGGTGTCACTGGGAGAGATAACTATTTTAGGTTGGAGGCAAAGGTCAAAGGAGGGAGAGGAATTGAACAAATTTTTTTCTGAACACAGAGATTGGGTTGAAAAACCTTTACGACAGCTGCCTCAGCTATGCTTAGCAACCCAAGATGTAACCAGCCTAGAGGTTTGAAGTGGCACCCTGTGTCGAGTTGTGAAAGCTGAAAAATTAAATTATTTTCTTTTCTACCCCTATTAGTATGCACATTCTAACTACACACTCACAGTTGCCTAGATTGTTTAAACACTTGGATGAGTTTATCCGTGTTATTATTATTATTATTACTATTATGATCATCCCAGCTGTTATCCATTAATTCACAGCCCTGAACTCTGATCCTTGATATTCTATTAACCACATTAATTTAAATGCCTATGACTAATATCCGTTACGTAAATGTAATGCCTGATGAGAATTTACCGGAAATTCCTATGTGCTTATATGTCAGCCCAACAACAAGTTAGAAATCTCAACAAACACGCTGAAAGGACAGTATCGCTTTACAGGGAACAAATAACCCAGGTAAAAAAATCGTTTACAGTCAGTCAAGATATATCAAATGCGTTGCACGTCGCTGTTAGTTGAATGACTAAGTGGAACAGCCTGACTGCCTACTCAAAGAACTGTTATAAAATAAAGCACGGGAACACAGGAGAAATGCTTGACAGGTTCGTCTTCTGGCTACTGAAATGGGTTGGTGCAATACTAAAATCCCCTATTTTATCGGATAGTCTACTTCAAAACCCATAAATACAATCGGAAGCCCGAAAGTCAATACCATAAATAGGTTTAGAAGAAAGTCAGATACTTTTTAGCAATGCAGTTCACAAGGCTTCTTCACCACAATAGATAGCTGAATTTATAGTAAATAAAAGTAGACTAGTAACATCCAAAATAAAAAGAAGAAAAATGATGTTATTAAGGCTTGTGCACCCGATAAGATAACGTGACTTAACGTCTACGTAACCCAAGCAACCAATTCCATGAAAAGCTATCAATGGACATTTATTGCGAAAAAGCAATTGTGTTGAGGTCAAGCGAACAATAATAAAAAGAAGGAATCGGAAACAAACCGAAACATCCGCAAGGAGCACGATGCATGACGAAGTATCTTCAACTGACGGTCAGTCAAAACCTTATTGGCAGCAGAGGTAAACTTGGTTCGAAGCCGTGCATCTAGGTGACTTTCTTATTGATGATTCTCAGTAGGAGATATGTACACATTGATAGAATCAGATTAGCAATGAGAACTACGCAACCTCCCATCACTAGGTAATCTATGTGTATCCTATTATCTGATGTCTTCGCATGTTATGAATTTAATACTCACTCTTAGCCTAATTCAAATATTGTATCGCTCATATTTCATTATTGTTGACTAATAAAATAATTTCCTTCTTAAAAGACTATAGTTGTATTTTTATCTTTCTAGTCATGATAAAGTTCAAACTACTTGCACACCTCCATTATGGATGAAATTTTATTTCGATACTGTCTTATACTGGTATACAGTAATATTTACTGATGACGTTTCGAGCACAATTGATTGCTCATAACAATATCACGGTAATCATACAACTTTTTGACTTCGTTTATCAATGACACATGCACTAACACTGTGTGATTTCTTCAAAAGCTTTAGCCCTATGAACAATGAGTATTTACAATGCATTCGTTTATTTTTACAGTGGCATTCTCCTGGATGATCAGTAAAAGCCTTTAAGAAGCACTGGTTCTAACTGTGTTATTATTGATTCCTTGAGTTCCGAGTAAAATGTAGGACCTCAGTGACACATACCATTACACTTGCTTCTCTACAATCACTTTTAAGTGTTGAAAATTCTTTGTGCTAGGATCTGTGGATCTCACCACCACTTTCGGATTAATGAACGTCTATCTTACTTTCCTAATCTTGGCTGACTCCAGCATCGTGATCTGTACTGACATCAGCTGAAACGAATGACGCTGTCTGAGGGGAGTGAAAGAGACTACCTTTTTTAGATCTCATTCAATGATTTATTGATAACCAGTATTCAGCTTTTAATTTACATTATAATTCCACCACATACCTTAAAAGTCAACTGAACCATCCAAAAGCATTTTGCACGCAAAGATGCCTACAAACATAAAACGTAGGTACATTACGGTGTGATGTAATCAAGCTAAGTGTATTGAATTCAAATTTCATTTTTCAACTTCGACCAACCACTGTTTGAATAACCATGTAGATGGATGCCTCTGTAATAGGCAACTTCCAGTCCACTAACCTTACAATCAGAATATTGAATATTAATATGTATGCATAGATACATTATGTAATAAAATGTGATGATACTTCGTTTTTGAAGGGTTGTTAAATTCAATTAAATAATATCTAACAGCTAAAGTGAGGTCTTGAAGTCACTTATTTACACCGAAAACATACTGTCTCACCTCAAAGACACCAAGAAGCCAGTGAAACAGTCGCATTATGATTAAAGATTTACTTTCATACTAAGATCTTTTGTTAACATAATACTGGTGGATAACTGATACCATCCTGGAACAAATATGGCTGTGAGTAGCTTGACAGAGTGTTGTAGCTCCAACTGAACTAAATCTAAGCAAACCGTTTTACGAATCAAGAAAGAAGACTGAGAATTACCAGCCAATTAGCTGAAATTTGATGTGATAATGGTGAATAAGAATTAGGACTCTCTGAGTTATCGGCAAGGAGATCTGCATTGCTTTGCCCGAGAAGGATGACACTATATTGACCGCAGAATAAAACGAATGTGATCACTGGTATGTACTCGTCGGTAAATTATTGTTATGGACTGGTCGAGAAACTAATAGTCCTGACGCAAGAAGGCGGAAATCAGAAGACCGCTAGGTTTGCGATGATACTTCTATTGTCCAAACACAAGGAGACGAAAATAAATGGTCTCACACCAAAGTGGTAAGTAAGTAAAGTAAAGTAGTTCACACAATTGTGTATGCGAAATATATATGAATGTTCAGACAAGGGTGTGAACAAATCACTAGACAGTCTTAACATGAATGGCTAATTATAATGAAGTATCGATCCATATAAACATATAGCAGACATGTCAACAACCAAACATATAATATGGATATATGTCACCAAGCAACGGACTGTCAACAAACATTCATATTATATATAATATAATATAAGGAGAATATACATTGTTAAAGGAGACAAGTTCATACCAGTGAAATGGTCACAGACTACGACAGCAAACAGAAAGAGAGACCAACATACGCACACATAATTATATATATGTGGATACATATCAATCACAAATTACATGCTATGCATAAGAATGCACAACAATACTGAGGATTTTCTCATTCCAAGCTCGCGATAGAGTCAATCAACATTCATTGTGCTAAAACAGGAAATAAGGTTTGAAAATGTCTAACAATGTACAAAGAAACCACCACAGATTGCCTTATGTGTTACTAAGCATCCAAACGTTACACTGCGTTATTCTCTGTTTCACATCTTACGAAAGAATGAAAAAAAAGCATTTGAATAAATTGTTTTTACCACGAGAACAGACTTACCGAAACAGTTTAGAAGCGTAGTCTTTCCAACTGTATGCTAGTCTACCATATCCCCTTGATTTTGACTGGATTTCTGAAGGAATATCACTGCATGTTTTAACTGAATCCAAGTGTTTCATAGCGTCATAGTCAGCACGAACCAGGTGTAAAATACTTTGTGTAACAATTCGAACTGCATCAGCAACATGATCAAGTTCACTAGCTTGAAGTAGTCGAACACCGATAACACCTTATTCGAAGTAAAAATATTGGTGAAACTCAGATAATGGTAGGATGATAAATGCTTAGTCACTGCTTAGATTACACTGGTGAATGATTTAATATTAGTGCAATGAAGTGGTATTGACCTTGTCAGGTTAGTAAATAAAGTAGTCATTTCATTCCGAAGGAATTTCACAAACACACTCTGGCTATTTAAACAATTTAATAGTAGTATAAAATTATTGAAAAAATATTTCAGTTAGGTAGGTAGTGTTGGCATTTTCGACTGACGACAAAACTAAAGCATTTCGAAACATTACATTGTAATACTGTAAGTAAGACTTTATTCGTGAAAGAAGTGTCTATTAACAGTACCGAAAGTGATCTGAATGCCTCGCTTCCAGCTACCTTCTAAACTTAATAACTTTTTCTCGGACATCATCCACTGGTCTAAGCCACACGGCCTTCTGTTAAATCCCTCTAAATGTCGAAATATTAGCTCCACCTTCAGACACAAACGTGATCTACACGAAATGGCCTGTTCACAAGATGTTTTCAGCATACAGTACACCGAAACAGAAACTATTTCAAGCATAAAATGCTTTGGGATATTTCTGTCCTCTGATATTTCATGGTCATCCCATATCATGTCGATTTCTAGAATGTTCGGTCTAACCTTCTACGTTAAGAAGTTAGGACATTCAAGTGTCACCCAACCTCTGCTTTTACAATTCGTTAACTCTTGCATCTTACCTTATGTTCTTTATTGCTCCCTTCTTAGTCTTTCCCGGGATACTCAAAAAGAACTGTGTCATATTGCGAAGGGCATTAAAGATTGTTAGTAGGGCAAGTAGTGTGCCACTAAGACAACTCGGTACTACAGTGATAGACGGATACCTAGATGAAAAATAGTCTAAATTTATACCATCTGCCCCTAAGCAATCTCTCCCCTTCTTGCATCTCATCATATCATTTAGGGACTATTAGAAAACCAGAGAGTACTGGTTTTCCATGGGTTCTCCAACTGATATCACCTCGTGATCCAATCTATAACCTATCAAGTCCCTGCAAACCAACATTTGAAAATGATAATACCATATTTTATATGATCCAAAGTTTAACTAGATGCGTTAAATAAAGTGTTCCACCAATTCAGTCAGAATTCCCATATAATTTTACTAGTTAAGGATAACTTACAAATCCTGATAATTCAGTAAAGAAAATGAGACATGTGTTTTCCTAAAAACCATCAACTAATTTCACCGATGGTTTTACATCCCACTGTGTCTACCAATTTACATGCAGTTGTGGTCAATGCCGCATAGGGATGACCAACCGACCTCTGCAGGTCAAGGATGTAGAACACATTATTAACTGACTGCAAGAAAAAATTAAATCATCTATTTCCACTGACTGTGGAAATATACGCCCAAAGTTACTTGAAATGAAATATGAGACGAAGCATTTTTACAGTTTCTTCGGTATATATAACACGGTTAATTACTATTTCACATTATATCATTGCAAACAGTGCATACGTTGGAGGCAGTTATACCTTGCATCCAAAAAGTCAAAATCAACAAAAAGTTTAAAAAAATACCATCAATTTACCATTAGGTATATTAGAGGCATCCAACGCCTGTTCAGTAACTATCCAAGCCCATTCTGCTTCTAGCATTCCAAGTTTGCGTGCAGCTAAAAACACATACTCTGCAAACTTTCTACGTAAAAATAGTAGAATGACGCGTGTTTGTTCATTTCGAACAGGTTGTAAGAGACTGATAAAATCTTTCATTTGAGCAGCATCTTCTTCATCTGTGTTGATAGGAACTTGCCGTGTAATCTGTAATATTGTTTTTTTTAAGACTATGGTAATACTTAGATACTGTTAAAATGCTTAAGATAAATAATAACTGAACTTCAAGGGTTCGAAAATAACTCTGCAATCATAAGAAAGTCCATGATTTTGTATCAGGACTCCATATTAACTTGTTTATTAGATATATCACACAGTGACACAGTACTATTTACTGGATGACCTGTTGAACACAATTCATTGTTCATAATCATATCAGTTATCAGGATCCGATACACTAGTATGCTAAGTGTAGGTTAGCCACTTAGAAATGCAGTGAATCAGTCTATATGTTTTAACATTATAATTATTACATTTCATAGTGGTGAGATTCAGTCAGTTTAGCATTTAGTTAATCAACAAGTACTGTTATAAACAAGGCATTCAGATTTGTTTATTATATTCCTACTAATCATAATTCCACTCTAGCAATTGGTCATCTATGCACAGCAGAAGTCATTGTAATCCACTTGAAGAAACCGAAATTGTATGTTCAAATGAAAAGTGTACAACCGCTTCCTTTACCTCAGCCATCTTCACATAAATGTAAAAATTCTCCTCTGTCTCTACCCTCTATCCAGGTTTCAAGTTATTATCATTATCATTATTATTATTTTAACTGTCCTAATAACCTGTCTACTTCACCTATAATTGTTCTTATGTAACTGATTTTAATAATTTAATTACTCACTTACTCTTATTTTTAGATATTATCTGTTCTGTTTCACAAATAACTCTGACCACTTCTCCATCATAAACAATATTACCATTTCGACTGATGTTCGATTACTCTATCTAAATATTTTGAATTTATTCATTTATTTGAAGAAATGACCTGGAACATTGTGGCACCAAGAGATGAGCCAAAAAATAATAATAGTAAAATCACAATTTGAGGAGTAGAGAAATAATATAACCGGAGCAAACCAATATAAAAGCAGATAAACATAATTATCAAGAGTATTTAAAAGAGCTTCCTTTATTTTACACTGATTTCAAACTGAAGAGAAAAACGGAAACCTTTACATTTGAACCATCAGTTTCCATTTTAAGACATATCAGACAATGTTCTGACGTCTTGGGTCCAACCCCACCAATCGATGCCGACCTAGCACAACTACACTTCATCCCACAAAGCCACATCATGGGCTGACCACTTCTCCGCTTTTTCCATCTTGTTACAGAGTCAGTAAAAAATAAACAGTATGCCACTGAGGTATGACACCGACAGCGCAAGTCGGTGTCTCAAGATTGAACTAATTACTGAAGGACAATTTCCAGTATATCAAAACTTACCTGTTGGGTCTCAGAGTTCCTTAAATAGAGAGAACACTTTTTGCAAGTAGTTCTACAGAGATAGGGATCAAACATTTGGAATCACCGCACATCATCAGTTTAGAGAGGTAAGCAGAAGATCGGGACTGTACACATCGGAATTTTATAAACCTGACCTTTAAAGGACAGGACAATTCGAGAGATGGCCAATGTTGACACATGCTTTCATCTTAAGGTAGGATTTATCACACTGAATACTGACGCTGTGGGCTAGCCAAATTACTTTTCGAACTGGTCTGCTCACCATTCTAGGATTTTTTTTTAGTTTTTTGTTCGGCGTGCCGTCAGCCGTGCAGGCTGATACTACACAATATACTTCTTGTTTCCAGTGGCCTGGATAAGCCGGAACAGCTGCAAGCTGTTGCAAGAAGCAGCACCCCACACTAATGTTCTTTTGATGGGGTTGCTCTATCCTTACTCAAGCACTGTTTAATTTAAGGCATACAAGCTTTTTACGAATTAAACTCGCCATAAATGAACCGTAGGCGTCAGGAATGAATAAAATACTTGCAGAAATTCAGTGGTTTTTTGATGAGACATTCTTTTAGCAGCCTATCTCCGCCTCTGCTGTCTGAAGAGTTAACAGCTGGTGTTGAGTTTAGCTCAGTTTGATATTTGTTCTCAATGCAGGCTCAATTAATTTTACCTGTTACGGAATTTCATCATGAGCTGACATCGGTTAGAGAAACATTGGAAAACCTGTAACTAATCAGTCGAATCTCTACAAACCAATACTCAAATTCGCTTGTGTCATTCTGATTGGGACAATGTTCCCAGTCACTACCAAATAGAAAAAAAACTTTCACAGACTAAAACATGGTCGTAATTCAGATAACTCTTCCAGAAGGAAGGACAATCCTATAGGCATCCACCACATTGATGGTCAATAATAGTGTGATCTGTTTGGTTCCAGATTCGGGTGTCAGAGGGATAATACTACCTTGCACTAAGTCAGTGACTGTGCTGCATTGGTGGGTAACTTAACCGCAGGTAACTTAAGAATCATTGATTGTTTATCGTTATAGCCTTCTCTTAATCATAATTTTCATGATGTTTGATAATTCGGAAATGGATCTGTTTATGTTGGCAAGTACATAAATAATAGCTTCTTGGTAATATCTGCGGATATCTTCCATAAAATGCTCTGAATATTAGTCAATTTGGCCGGTTGTCTAAACATAAGGCAGTCTTAAGATGCACAGAAAAGCCTGTCATCAAAATTTTTTGTATATTGTGACTGAAAGACTTAGGCGGTGACTAAATTAGGACGAAATGCATGGGTGGTTATAATCTCCTGCAATCCCGTAAGGATCTGGAATCCCCAGTGAGATTGGTTTTTATTTAACAGTTACAAGTTCTTCTGTTGAAATTCATGTCATAAGGGCCTATTTCATCTGTTTTTGTCATATCGTTTTATGTGAGGAAAGAGGGGGCTGAGTTATGACTTCTTCAGTCTACAAAACACACAAAAATCAGAAGTGAACTCAAACTGATGCGTGTTTCAATCGAATAACTGCAGAAGAGAAATTAGTAGATTGAATGTCCCGAAGATAAAATTGTCTCAGTGTGAGAGATATCCCAAAACCTAACTAATGTGAATGTAAACGTTATTTCAATTCCTATTGTTAGACGTCGAAAATGCCACTTCTGCCGCCTACCATACTTTTACCTTACAGAAAACTAAAGCTAGCAATTTAAAAACCCTGGATAATTATTCGCACATGTTGTAGTTTTATTTAGAACTCTGAGTCCTGTTAGAAATCAAATAAGAACAATATTCAACTTTTTTATGATGAAATGCACAAATTGTTGAAAACAGTACCTCTTCCACGATACATTTTGGAAAGTGATCTCGCTACTCTGCTAACATCCTGTTCTGCGTCTATAACTTAACCGACTAACTGTCTGGAGGGCTGATGTAAAAACTAGTGTTTCTGCAACCTCGTCAGAAGACTGGATCATAGACCCAGGTTCTCATGTGAAAACTCAATGGTGTGTTCGAGAGAATATGCAATACCAAACCTCCCAATCCTATATTCCACGGACTGTCCTAAATGGATGGAAATATTGACATTTGTAGGGTGGAATTCAAAGTCTACATAAGTGAAACTATAAGGTATGAGGATGCTTGCCCACCTTAGTGCCCCAGAGGCTAGAAAATTGTACAGTATATCTATAAATCGGTCCATGTTAGCAGTCTACCGGTTATAAACGATATTCAAGATGCCATTGGGGCAAGCCGCAGTGGATGGGACGTAGACAGCAGTCTTCCATCTGTAGCTGAGATTACTAAGGCTGTCTCTTGTCCGAAATGAGGCAAAGTGACAGAACCTGATGGAATGACTCCAGAGGTATTTAAGACGATGGAGATGAATCCCTGCCTAGGCTAACTAAGGTATAAGGTAGCGTTTAAGTAACGATTAAGTAAATCGCACTAATCAAGGCACTCTACTCAAACTGACAAATGCCTGTGAGGGCTTACGGAGAGTTGTCATATGGGGCAATTACAAAGCGTGGTATCCGTCAGGGATACCACTGTCTCCATTTCTCTTCAGTTTAATCAAAAATGTACTAACGAACTTGACCCGAACTGATTTGAACTACTTATGGATTGAACTGTTAGCATGGAATAATCTTATTTACTTAGAATATGAGGATGATACAGTCCTGTTAGGTGAAGACACTGATAAGATGTCGTCCTCTGAACACCTTGAGCAGAAATGTTCGAGTGCTTGTCATACGGTCCACTCTTCTCAAATGTAAAAGGATGCTACAAGAGTGGGATACACCTTACTCCAAGCCTAAGGGCAGTGTGAAAAATAGTTAATTGTCCCGCTCGTAAGATTTGGATATGACAGAGAAGATTTGTAGCTCAGGTGGATGGTTTTGATGTGTTTGTGTTCTCTGAGCTGAATAGTTGATTTGCGAAGCTTTCATCACCCTACTAGGTGACATCTTCAGTTCATACTTCAATTCGAAAAGGGAAAACCAATTGATGCGGTTGTCAAGCTACGTTGATTTAGATGGTTAAGACATGTTTTATGCACGCCTAGCGATCAGCTATCTCGGCGGATAATGTTATCTGTGATAGGAGTGGGTTGGAAAAGAGCTAGTGATGGAATCAGTTAATGGGATCTTTAACAGACAGTCTGAACCATTTAGTTGGGTACATACGAAGTAGTTGGGGAAGTCTGGTGATATAGCTCAGTGCCGCAGATGCTTTCGATCTCTGTGAGCTGCATAACAAAGCCAAGTTGTCCGTAAATAACAAGAAATCCACCAAACTAATCTCCATACGTCTTTGCAAAACACTCGATTCTCTACATCAGAGATACAAGGTCTTGAAAGCGAGCATACATTGTGAGCAGATTTTAGTCTAATCAGCTGGTTGAAAGAACACATACTGTCCACACCACTTGCCTTGTGGTGTAAGAAACTTACACATCTGGGCAACACTTCTCACTCCCATTTAAAATGTCTTGGCGTAGGTGACAACATAAAACACAAATTAAAACCAAAATAGGCTACTGTTCAATTACAACTCGACAATTTAGTGCTCTCTGAATGATAGATAAGGTACACAGTGGAATTTTCAATACTATACAGACAACTAATCAGGTCCAAATTACAGAACTGCACTCTTGTCTGAGAGATGACTATCTCATAGAGAAAAGAGTACAGACGCTAGCAACACGGATTACGTATAGTATAACCAATTCACCATATACTCAATGACTGGAAAGAAATCTCATCAACTTATCATACCTAAGGCGAATATCCAATATTATCATAATGCATAAAACTTAGATACGCACCTTGGACATAGTCTATCTTCACTTTATACCAAACAAATCTCAAAATCTTATAGTAAACAGCAACTTTACAAAAGCTAGAGACCAAATATATCATGATGAAACTTTCAAGGTGAGTCATTAACTCTTGAATTATACTTCCAGGAGCAGCTTCAGCCAACTTACTTACCTGGAAAGTAGACATACCCAATAGTAATTGGGACTTATTAATGTAGACTCTGTTTCTTTCATCCTCAGACAAAAGCCGTAGTATCCCTAGGCGGTTTAATATTTATCCGAAATCATCCTAAGAACTGAAGAGAATAGTACTCCTGTCAGTTCAGACTCATTTGGATTTAGGCATCATGGTAAGTCATGATTTAAACACTACAGCGTACTGTCGCGCGGTGGCCGCATAAAGTTCCAGATCCTTATGGGCAATTCTCAGAGCCTTTACTGGAATCGTCAGAGATATGTTCACCTCCTTATATACGCCTCTGATGATGTCAAGACTGGAAACCTGTATCCAGTCAGTCCTTGTCTTGAAGGGGACTCACATACTCTGTAAAGAATTCAAGGGTAGGCAACACGTATGATTCTCGGCATGACAAATTTATCATACGAGTAAAGACTGGAAAGTTTACGTTTCTTCTCCCTATCATACTGTAGGCAGAGAGAAGATTTAATTAAAATGTTTTAAATGATGACTAGAAACCTAACCTATTTTCTCTTTTCCTTCCTACTAGGTCGTGACACCTCAGAGGACATAGCAGGAGAGCTCAAAAGCCAGGAAGAAACCATATTGCTGTGGAATACTGGTTTTCAAGCCGCATCAAAAACTCCTGGAACCGACTTTTAGAAGAAGTGGTGTCTGCAACCTCAACTGTTTCATTCGAAAAGGGTTTGGAAATGCAAAGAAATTCACTGGAAAAGGGCTAAAATCGGCCCCAAACCTTCTATCCTCAACCAATAAATCTGAAATCTAAATCTGAATGCGACTTCTGATTGGTCGGTGTTCCTCCTTTGTCCACTGTTCTGTATTCCAAGTTTCAAAAACATTTGAACGACCCCTAAGTATCATAATTGTCATTGATTTTATCCACTTTCTTTTTTCTGCGGTTCCTAATGTTAGGTGGGAAACAGATTCGTAAACAGTTGAACGTAATAGTTTCTATGGGTTATTTTTCTTAAAAAGGTACAACGACGCTATGAAACCACTGAATAATAAAAAATTTTGAGTTAGAAAATAAATTCATCGCCCTGCATATGGCAGACAAATGAATAATCTTAGAAGTCATCGCTGGCTAGCCACAGCATATTCACACAGAAACTGGAAACTGACGTACCTTAAATTCCATCCCCCTTTGAGAGGCCGACTCCAGGTAAGAAAGTACTCTCTTCGCATCATGATCATCGGAGTGAATAACACAGACTTCACGCCAACCAAAAGCTTTGATAAGATCTACCCAAATAGCTGCCTCACTACTAAATGGTGGGACAGTGCGAAGAAAACTCCCATGGCTATACTTGTCACTGAAAATCGAATGTCTTGCGCTAACGCCAACAACTGGAAGGTGATAAAAGGCACATGTAAATGATACTGATAGAGGTGGAGACCCAGGTGCGCCATTTGGATGAGAAATAACCAGTGCAAACATTCTACCTCTTGATGAGTTGAATAAATCGCACACCTGATTTGTGGCTTTGAGAGCGTTGAGAGCAAGGATCTGAAATATGCTTGATTTTATATTTAATTATACCTCTCCAGCTGCTTTAAAATTAATAATGTCGTCGAAGACACTATCTCTGATCGATGTGACCATTTTCTCAAAACCATTTAGGGCATTCTGACTGCTTAACAAACCTCCTATAGTGAACTCTAGACACTGTGACTCAGTTGCAAAGCCAAGCACGACCAAAATATATATAGCTTTAATCATAACCAATGTCTACTTAAAACCACTTTCAAAATAATGTCTTGGAGAAGTACAGTCTAACTGATGCAGTAAAACAAAAAAAAGTACATTTTATCATTTATATATCTAACAATATTATTGACGTTTTTTCTTTAAAAAAACATCTGACCCAACCACGATGCATACTACACGAATTTCTATATTCTGACTGATTAGCTAATATGTTTCATGTGGATATTTTAAGCGATAGCATGGGTGATACGCATAACTATATTATTTTTAGATTACCCGCGGGTAAACCAGTGTGCGAATAGTCCATTTAAGCCACTGATATGTCTGTAAAGCTCATTTGCAATGAAGAACTCATTTCGCTATTTAATATTCATTATCATCTAGTTGTTGGGGAAGCTGACAGCGGAATGTGACTTATTATTGAAAAAACGGCATGAAAAGTAACACTATTTAGATCTAAATACAGCTTCTGGAAGTCCCGAATACTTAGGGATCTCAGTGGCACTAATCAAATATTGAAAGGAATTAACGACATCTGTTGTCGCTCTTGTTGTTGAACACAAAATCTTTGGTAGATTCATGTCTCAGAGAATATCCACCGACCAAGGATACGCAATTTATGTGGCTTTAGTGTGTATTAAGCCGGTGGAAAGGACACTACCCATTACTTCCCTATGTTTTCGACAGTAAATAGCGATACTGCCGAAACATCGAGTGTAAACACGGTAGACCTACTTCCTAAGTTAAATCAAAAAAATTCAGCCAAAAGAAGAAAATCCAGTGGCATTTCCCAGCCTCACTCAGTACCCATTTGTGTCTTCGTACTGAATTAGGTGCAATCCCCGACTTGCCTAGATTCCGAAAAGACGACTAGTAGTACATGCCTGAAGCAATAATTCCGATGGCGTCAAATGTATATCAGACCACATTTGACAATCACACATGAAAACACTCTTCAAAAAACTCATTCATCGGAACTAAATTTTGCTTGAGAATGGGTAGGGAACATGTCATAAATATATTGTTCCTGTCGAACGGTTGCACTTTGCTGCCATTTTATATGTCCTCTTTTGATTTTTAGAATATTTCTGAGTCTTTTCTGTGTATTATTTTTCCCACAGGACATGAGGCAGACATCAACGGCTGTCTCAAATTTAGGTTCGCATGTCACGTTGACGGAGAAGAATACTTTTTGAATTTCAATTACACCTACGTACTTTAGCCTAAATTAACTCGTGTCATTTCGCAACGTCAATTCTGTTATTTGCCAATTAAAACTGGTGCTGTCTTAATTGTCAGGATTTCCTGTGTATTGAAAATGGCACTAGCAAGGGAGTTATTAGAGATATGAAAGTTCATGCAAGCTGCAGACAGATTTTGAAACATAGAAAGACCTGATGATATTTAACGGGAAGTCTATCAACCTCACGGAGTGAGAAACTGAAGAACTTCGCACTCATAGCACACAGAACTTTGCCCTTTCTTGAGAACTTGAAGTATGGCCTAATTTCACCCTAATTCATAGCCCTAACACAAACACAAAGTGGACACGGAACATGCTTTACGACACTTTGTAGACAGGCAGTTGGGTGTACTCACTTCAGAATTCTTCTTAAGTCTCTGTGAAACTTAAG